TCGATCAGGAAGAGTGTTCAAATTGAACAAGAGGCTGCTGCTCCAAAAATTGTTCTCTTTACAGGACACTCACACAGAATGAATCTAGCGATTGCTCTGCCGTTGGCTGAAGATCCGCTTTCGAGTTTCAAAGTTTTGGTCACAATACCATCTCTCTCAAGTAGTGAATATTTAGAAGATCCACGGGTATTGAATGTGCTCAATAAGACGCTGTTTGTCCTCCCAATGGATTTCGAGTCGGAGGAGTCGATCAAAGGAGTCCTTCGAGAGATCATGGATAATGATGGATTTATTGATGCTGTCGGTGAGTGTATATGGTGTTTACTGGTGGTAAATCGCGCATACTTTTCTTATTTTGACTATGCTACAATCTGCATAGTTAGAAGAACGTGCGAATCTTTGTTATCATTCTTTCACGTTTTTCCGCTGTCAATGGTTTGCGAGTCGTTACACATTTTTCTGTGTGCAATGAGAAGACCTTACGTGACAATTTGATACAACTGTGCGTGTATTCGAGCTGCAGCAAACTCACCAGTTCTGTCGACAGAGTGTTTTTCTTTTGGTAAATATATTTCCCACCTACTTAAAAAGCTTTTGCGGGTTTTCGGTGTAACTTAAAAAAAAATGTGGCATTCTCACATTTCCGGTTGTAAAATTGTCTCCAGAGATCACGCGTTTCATTATTGAGAAGTCTGTTATCAATTTGTGGAATCCTCGGGCAGTCACTTCTTTGACTCTTTCTAAAACATCGGACGAAAGTGGTGTCCTAGAACTGTGTGTCAAATTCAATCGCTTTTCCCATGAGAAAGTATTGTATAAAACTTAGTAACTAATCAATGCTGTTTATCGGCTGAGTCACCTAGTCATGAGGTCGTGGATTAACATGTTGGAATTATCTCGCGAGAAGTTAAACACATTTCATGAGTCAAGAGATGGGTCCGTTCTTTTAATTGTGACGATTATTAAAGCCCGATTTTCAATGCTCTAGGTTGGTTTTCTAAGGCTGTAATTGGATTATTGCGATGAAATGATCTTTCAGTTATTTCCAGATAGACTCTGTGTCGAGAGACACTATGACCTTGTTGTCTTGGATCGTGTCGCTGCTTATGGTGGATACGAAGTGAACTAAGTTAGTCCGAGTTGCCATATAAGATGTAAGCAGAATACTATAGTCACCATAGGGTGGATCTTCAGCGGCTATTTGTGTCGAGACCTGTCCTTGTTCTAAACAGTTTCTGAAAGGTTAGTCGATTCTCGGACAACTTCCGAGTCAGACGATCTTTCGAATCTGTTTAGGAGTTGTTTCTGTCCTTTCTCGATGAGGGATGGCTTCGAGGCCTATTATTATTATGATTTACTATTACTTCTATTATTACTAATAGACCTAGTAAGTCTGTGTTGTCACCCCCTCAGTCAGGTGGGAGAGCCATGATAGGCTTCTTTTCTATTAAATGTTTGCGTGCGTCTCAGTGGATTTCCTTCGTGATTTTAGGATGTTTTGATTTATTTGAAACTATGCGCCCTGTTGGACAAAGCCAAGCAAACCAAGTACATTGTATTCAAAATTTCCCCCAACTGACGACGGTTGCTTATCAAGTAAATTATGCTTCATCTATCCCTGGAAGAAAATTCTTGTCCGATGAAGACACTAGAATCTAAATTCCGTTGATAAAGATGTAATAAATGCATCAAATCAAGTACAACATTTGGCTGTGAACAAAGTCTGCGAAAAGTCATAAATTCCTAAGGAAAACAAGCAATAAATTTGCTACTAAAAAGTTTCAAAAGCTGAACGCAACTCCCATAACGAGCTGAGTCCACTAACGTGTCCCCGTTGTCCACGTCAAGCGGGTCTCGAAACACGTTTGGCGCGCGTTACGCGTTCATGAACAAAGGAAACATGCTTTGGGAAGGGATATCAATCAGTCAAGTAATGAATCAATTTAATTTGTTTCAGGGGGTGGCTTTGCGCTTTCCGTTGCCCTGGTATGGTAAAAAGGCGTAGTAGTGGAATAATAAAGTGATATTATTTAATAATACTGCAGTGAGTAAAAGATGTAAATACATGAATGATATCTATCAGTTGATGGGCGTACATGTTACTATGATTAAATTGAGATTAAGGTTAGCTAAGAAGGTTTGCCGAAACTCACTGTTAATTAGTCCAATTTTTTAAAACTTTTGGATGCTTTGTTTTCTTCAGCACTTTCCCTAAGTTCCTTTAGTCGTTAATGGATCTAATCGTAAAAGTTGAGTCATCATATTTAGGAATCTTAGATTTAGTTTTCTGAAACGTGGACGTCACAAATAAGTTGAAGCAAAGATTTCAGGTATTTAGAAGAGAAAATTGTAGTTCCAAATACATTCACAAACTTAATACAACTCAACACCCTGAGAGCCGAGTTGGGTCGGTTTTCGAGATCTCGCCTCACCACTTTTTTCTTTGGTTAGCGAGATCTTGGAAAACCTGGGTAGAAAATTTCCCAAGAGAACGGTCAAATCCATTGTTCTCTTTTTGTCTTTCTTTTTCTCCAGCGCGGTAATCAAGCTATTGAATTTCGCAAATGAATCGGGCCAATATTCAGGCTAAGTATTAACTCGGAAACAGGATGATATATCCCAAATGATTAGAGGCAAACAGGCCCGAAAACAGTAAATAAACAATCAATTTAAAGTTTTGTTTTGGTTATGGATGGTGAGAAACAGTGCTATATCGATCGACAGGCTTTCTTTGATAGCAAACTGAAAATTGTATCCGGCTTTACTTTCAGTCATTACGTCAAACGTCCTTCTAAGCGGTCAAATAGAGACACATACTACTGACCAGGCCAAGACAATATTTGATGTGAATACGTTTTTTGTGATCAGCATTATAAAGGCCGTTCTTCCGATGATGAAAAAGCAGCGAGATGGTCGACTCATCATTGTAAGCAATCAAGCAGGAGTGCTTGGTGTCCCTTTTCACGGTCTCTACTGTGCCTCGAAATTTGCCCTTGAAGGGTTCATGGAAAGTATTGCTCCAGAATGTCTTGCATTCAACATCCGGTAAGTTTATAGAAGCTCTTTGATTAGTAAGTTCATGGCTTAACCGCAAATGCCATGAATGGAGCAGAGCAGTGTTGAAAAGAGTAGAAATAAAATCATAAATCTTAATATGTTGAGAGGCTGAGCTGTACATCTGTCAGGGGAATACCAGGTATTTTAAAGTCACAGAAATAAGGTTATAGAAACTCACCGAAGAGTATCATGAAGTTGGTATGTGTTTTGGCACAACGCTGTAAGTTGTTTTTCTACGAATGGAACTCGATTCGCTACGAATGAAAAAGTTGTTTTACTGAAAACTTACGTGATTCGAACTTGAACTTATTTAAAACAAACTTTTGTTCTTTCCTGTCACGCGCCTAAACATCTGGTTGTGTCTGAAACTCATGCAATCTGTAAAGGTTGCATTCAAACGAAACGTACCAAGCGTTGTGCATTCGGCGTACCCTGCCAACACCACAATGTTATTCAGCCTGCTGTCTTAAATGTGTTTGACACTAATTTAAGTTAATGCTAACCTCCTATAAAAGTTTTTTGTAGTTACACTTAAGCATTGAAATTAGAAATGAAATTACAGTGCAAGCTGGAAAGTTAGGTGAACTAGTTGGTTTCTTTGTTAGCTTTCCGCACAGTTTGAGATCTAAAATACAACGGGAAAAAAACAAGAGAAAGAGAAAGAATACCAGTAACTACAACGTCATGTAATATGATGCCGTGTTAAACGTTGAGAGGAATTACTTTCTTCTTTGTTTTGACGATAGATAACGTTTTGTTTGTTACGAAAAGGCAAACCCACATCAGCTCTAACTCCGGGCTTGTAAAGATTTTGTTTAGCTGTCTTTATTTTAGCAAATATATTAACCTTCCAACATGGTTTTGGTTTACCTCAATTTTCTTTGTTTGTGGCTTATACACACCACCCCAAACTAATACACCTTGGAGATATAGGGATTAATTGAATTGTGATAAGTTTCTGATGCCTTCATTTCGATGCTATTCCCATATCTCGAGATATACGAAAACAAGCAAATGAGTTTGTAAGGAAACGACTTTTGATTTAAAGCGAATCGACTACGTTTTATACTAAAATAACCTGTGACGAAACGGTTCCGTTGGAGCGAAACTATTAGACACCTCTTCAAACCATGGCAAATCTTTGCTTGCTCGAGAAGAAGTGTCATCGCTTTTGCGTGCTTTGCGTGTTTTCCTTTAATCATTGATATGAAAGTAACCGAAATTTCCTAGCTTGTAACCCAAGGAACCCCTTTTGCGAAATGGATGATTGTTTGTTTCTTCAAATAATCTGAATTCAGTGAAAACACTGAATTTAATAAAGGCCACGAAAAAGCAATCAACTTAATTAAAATGTACTTATTTCCCAGTTTTAGACCCTGGTGTTCAACGAGAATCGCCTTGTTCCGTTCTTCTTTCACTTTGTACAGCGTTAGCCTTTCGGGTTTTCTAAAGGTACCACCATGTCTCTCTCTTAGAAGACGTGACACATTCTTTTTTGAGTAATAAATACGCGATATATATGTTGAATAGATGTGTATCTATTTACATATCTATTTCATAATGTATATATTAGAAGTATTGACCCTTCTAAAGCTGGAATGGAAACTCAATTATTTCGCTTGTTGTGTTGACATTCCCTTTCACTGATATACTTGATTATTGATTTTGCATCAATTCATCGTTGTAGTTGCTCAATTGTTGAAACAAGTATGATAAAAGGTGAAGAGAAGACGGCCCAAACGATACAAGTTTCTATCCGGTCTAAAATGGAAAATGCTGATGACCACACCAAAAAGTATCAAGATTCATGTTCAGCGAAAATGAGGAGACAAAGGTCTGTGAAAAACTTTGATTTACGCAGAGTGACTGAACTTCTACGGGAAATCATACTTGAAGAGAGACCTCATTTCCGGTACCAACTTAACAAGTCGTCAAAAGATGCAGCTAGGGAAAAATGGAGTGACCTACACGGAGACACCTACATCTTCGACTCTGCTGAACAATTTCTGTGCGTTGAAACGGAACGCCTGCGGGATGCATTGGATAATATAAATAGTGTTGAGAGCAAGGTATAATAAAGCTTGGAACGTGACCAGTTATTCCAACACCTTAGAAGAAGAATTCCTTCTTTCAAATACTAGCTATTTTTCACATGAGTCTTTGTTCTTTGTTCTTCCAAGCTAGTTATCGTTTTACTCGATTATACGTGGTCCTGCAATAAATGCTGCACCCGATCAGAAGAAGACAGTGTTTTCGAGAGGATTCTAACAGAAAAAATTAGAAAAATAACAACTACGGCATAACTCGTTAATCTACACCATCCTTGATATAATTTTTCAACAACGAGTGCGTGAGTCCAAGGTCCAGTAACAACACAGATCTAGACACAGAGAAAACAATGAAAGCACGAGGCCGTAGGCGAACCGCATTGAGGTTTTTAAGTGTATGAATACAGCGATGAGCCCGAGTTTTTCATATGGGCTACAAGATTCTTAACTCTGCTTTAGTAATCAGGATATTTTGTTTCAGGGCTCAAATTTTCCTTGGTGTTATGCGAGTCGTACAAATCAAAATGTTTCACGTTAAATTCATTTTTGCTTGTGTTCAGTCATATTTACTGGTGAAGATGGCAGACTCCTAAAAACTAGAGATGATTCAAAGTTTTTAGATTAGGTCAACAATTTACGAAACAAAATGGGTAACTTTAATATTTCACGAATGGCGAGGAGGTCTTCGTTGATGGGAGAAAATGAAATTGTATTGTGGCCAATACTAATTAAAAGTAATTTTCTTGTGTTGGTTTGTTTTCCATTCATGCGTGAGTCCAAGGTTCAGTGACAACACAGATGAAATGAAAATCATTCGTGCTTTGGATATCCCCACAGGTAACCCAGGCTCGCACAGTGAGCCGCCCCAAATATAGAAATTCGTTTACGTTGTACAGTAGGCGAAATATAAGGAATAAACACTCGCAATATCGACCTGAAAAGTTGATCTAATTTTGGATAAAAACAAATTTATCTCGCTACAGTGGTTGTTCTTTTGCAGCGGTGAGTTTATGGGGTTTATGGGGATAGGTAAAAAATTGGGGTTACTGGCTCGTCTTTAATTTTCCCAGGTCACTCACTATGAAAACTTTATACTTCTAACTGCCATGTGTCGCTAGGTTACCCCATGTCTCACCCACCATAATTTCCATAGGCGGAAATGTAGTGGTTAGTAAATTTACCAAGTGTCTCGTCTTTCCTGAATTTGCCGGTCCAACTATCAATGCATTTAATGGTATATTCTCAGGATTCAATTATTTTTCATCTCATGTTTTATCAAGTAACACTCTTCAGTTCTCTGTTCACGACGATGAACTGAGTGACTGAGAGGATAAAGATGTGGCATTTCACATTCCCTGAAACTGACCCCTTCCTACTAAGCTGAACTCCCTCTTTCGTATTTACCAGTCTCAATCCTGAATCGTGAAGGTCACTGTCTTTCATGCTTCCGAGACTGAGCGCTGTTTTTCTTCTCAATTCTTCTATACACTTCTTTCCAAAGATCCCTCCCTTTCGTTCCTTGACTGAATACCTTATTTCGAATTCCATTCACAACCATGTTCACTTCAGTGACGTCAAGATTCAATGTCTTTTCACTCTCTTTCTCTCACCAACTGCGCATGTCTCATAGAATTGGGGGAGCCTTTTCATTGATCTCCTCGGAGCATTGATACTTTTGTCGATGATCGCGTCAGATCCTTTCGATACTGAGAGTGTCTTGTTGCGAGTTACATGCTCATACCTGAACTCCCTTCTATTCAAGTAATTTTATCTCGCTTCCTCGGCAAGTTATGGGCCTTGAATAACTTCATATTACAATATTGGCGCGGGTGCAAGCCTGAGCTCAAAAACAAGTTCATCAGGAGGTACTCTTAGAAAGAGGACTCCATGATCTTTCAAAATTTCATGATCTATTGTAATGCTAAACTTATCTCATAAATATAATTGAGCTTGTTCTCCTTGAGGACTCCTCCAGCTGAAGTTTTCTTGTCTCCAGCAATGCATCTGATTCTTAAAAGATCTTAAGATTGAATACCTTCACTCACCCTGTTTGCTCTCTCACTTTAAGTCAAGAAAAGGTCTTCATAGAGCTTAAAGATTCCTGTATTGAGATTTAACAATTAAAATGGTCCAACTAGTGGTAGAAATGGTCTGGTCTAACTAGATAAAACGGTTTAGCTAAATATAATGATGCAATCGCATTGAATGATGTAAAGATATAAACTGATCCAACCAGCTGAAATACAAAAAACCAATTAAAATGTTCCAACTGGTTAAAAAAAATTAAATGGTCCAACTTGTTGAAACGGTCCGGTCCATTCAAATGTAACTAGATAAAATAATCGAACTTGTTTAAAGAATCCAATTTGTTATAATGATTGAACCATAACTGGATAAAATGGTCCGACCACATAAAATTTTTCAACGCGACGAACTGATCCAACTCGTTAAAATGCTCCAATTGATTAAAGTGTGGTAACAAGCTGAAATAATCCAACCGCTTGAAATGGCCAAACTAGTAAGAGGTTCCAACTAGTGGTAATAATGCGTCCTTCTAACTAGATGATATGGTCCAACTGGTTAAGGAAGTCCAATCAATTAAAAAATATCTTAACAGATAAAATGGTTCAGCCGTTCTAAATAGTCTTAGTAAATAAAATGGGACATCTTGTTCAAATGGGCCAACTGATTAAAATGACCCAACTATATAAAACGGTGAAATTTGTTTAAATGGCTCAATTTATTAATATGGAGAAACCAGTTAAAAATGGTGCAACTGCGTAAAATAATATAGCTAGAAAAAAAATCCAACAGCTTAAAGTGGTCGAACTAGTTAAGGTGATACAACTACATTAAATGGTCTAACTAGATAAAATGGTTTTACTGTTTGAAATGGTCCAGTTGGTTAAAATGGGGTAAGTGGATATTTAGCTCCAACAGGCTGACATGGTACTACCTTTTAAAATGGTCTTAATAGATAAAACTGTTAAGCCGGTTAAAATGGTCGAATTGGTTAGATTGATAAAATGATCAAACTGGTAGAAATAGCCCAATTTGTTAAAATGGTCACATCAGTTAAAACGGTTTAACCATATAAAATGCTCCAACCACATAAAATAGTCTAACTTGAATAAATGCTTCAACTAGTTAAAGTAGTCCTATTAGTTTTAACCAAACAAAACGCTCCAATTATATAAATACTTTAACTAGACAAAATGGTCCAACTGGTTTAAATGAACTAACCAATCCAAATGGTCAAGCATGTAAAATGGTCCAACACCAAACTAGATAAAATGGTTCTACCAATGAAAATGGTCAAATTAGCTAAAATGGTTGATGATGAATTGCTTGATTATTTTCAGTGGAATTTTATATCAGCGTTACTTGTGGAACATGACGCCAGGAAGTCCCATGAAAAAAAGAAAGTTGTCGTCTATACATTTTTAACACATGGAGAAACAGTCAAATGCATAAACCTAAAGAAAGTATAATATTTTCCATGGATAATGTTCTAGGCAGCCAAAATTTCATGTTCTCAAACCAAAAGCGAGCCAATGTTGAGCAACTGTTTCTCCAATGAGCTTGCTTTGCATTTAGGTAGTATTTCATCCTTCACTTTCTGTTTCACTCTTTTCTTCCAACAGGAGCATTTCAGTAGGCTTAAACTGGTAAGAGGCCTAATGCAACATCAACTATAATCGAGTTGAACTTTAAGCATTTTCCTCTGACTAAAGCCCTTGCCGAACACTCCGAGGCTTAAGCTCGTTGGCTCCACAACCTTTTCCTTTCTTATTAAGGTTGGTGGCACGACAAATTCACCGAAGTACAAAATTTTCTATTACAGATTTCTTTAAGTATTTGGAAATGAAACTCTAATATTTTTACTTCCACAAAACCATTTGGAAACCATTGAAACCTCATCTTTCCCCTGTAAGGGACAATAAAACGGTGGAATGGACAGTTCAAACTGACAACCATACTTGCCTAATAGTTTGTCATGCATTACTTGAACTCGGCCATCCTTGTCAATTCATTTACGAGACTTCCTCCATGTCGACCGTTTCTTTAGGCGCTAGAGCATTGTAATTATTGGTGCTCAACCAAAACAAATAGTGCTTTTCAAGTTTTGTCGCGACGGTAAAACGTTGGGCAGGCACAAGTGATTACGCAAGTGGCTGGCCACGCTAAACTTTCCCGCGCCAAAATTTCAAAGGAAAATGTAAGAAACAACTGCCGTCATAAGAAATCAAGAAAAACTCAAACGTTCATAGAGATTGGTAAAGCAAAAAAAAAGAGAGAAAAGGAAACCCGGAGACTTTTTGAACACAAAGTTCACTCAATTACAGATATTCTGATGATTTATCATGTTGTTTTAAGCTTTATTGGTTTAAAAAACACTGTGACTTACTGGCTTGTGCGGTTTTTCGTATCTCCTAGGAGACAGCTTTGCTAAGACAGCCTCAAAGCCATTAAAACGCTCGCCTATGTCTAGATGTTTGACCACTGTGCTATTATTTTCCATTCTTGTTATGTTTGTAATATGTGTACATTAGAAGCCTTCTCATTAGACGACGACAAAAAACATCGCAATGAAACAGGTTTTTCTCGAAAGACCAAATTCTTCTGTGGAAATACTAACTGCATGATTCCACAATTAAGTGCTAATGAGTATTCATCATCTCAGCCTCCTTTTCTTTCTGGGTTTCTTGACCTTTGCGAACCCTTTACCAAACCAACCTGGATGTTTAGGATTTGAGAGAACACCTTTCTCAGTTTTACAACAAGACGAGTTATTGTCCTCACAGTTATTACATTCTAGTCCTTCAGTTACCACAGTGTCAGTTTTGACATATTCAAGGGACTGGTTACATTGCTGGACTGTAACAGTTAAGCATTTGGTGCTAAAAGTGTCCAATTCATGGGTCCTCAGTGGCGTTGAGAGAGTAAAAAGAGAGTCTTTACATCTACAAGACAACCAAAAAAAAAAAACATAGGTCAGTTCATCTCACAACGACCATGTATTTTCTGCAAAACAAAGAGCTATTTTTTTATGAATTGTAAAGAATCTTGCAGAGGAATTGTAATGAATATTACAAAAAACTAGTTCATCTATTTAAAGAGTTTAAAAATGCATCATCTGTTTTGAATTTTTGAGTGTATGACATTTTGTAACTGTCATCTTTGGCTTTTTATGGGCTATAGGTGAACTACAATCGCATATGTACCGAATTCACCCGCGAATAGGTGGCATCCGTGTATAAGCCACACCCCCAAACTTTGAAAAGATAATTAGTAAATTGTGATCAGAAATCATGCAGCTGTCGTAATGAAACCCACTAACAAAGAACAGTTGTAAAATTTATAAAGCCAGCTTAGAATAAAATGAACGAAAGGCGACAGTGGCCTTCACTTGGGCTTCCCTCTATAATTGGGGTGTTGTTAAACAGAGTAACTCAGTAACGAGTAATGGAGTAAAAAGAAAACAAGTAATGGCATTGAGTGATTCCATGCGTTTTGGAAGCTTCTGGAGCAATCAGGATTTACTTTAGTTCTTTCAATTGCTTCTCACCTTTAATACGCAAATTTTCATCACAAAACTTCTTTTCAGAGTTTATTCTAAGCACCGTTGAACAAAAAAAATTCAAGTTTAGGCGCAAACCCAACACTATTTTGAACAATTGCGATTGTTTATGATCTGATATGAAACATGAGCCGTGGAAACAGTTGAGGGTAATTGGCTGATTGGTTTG